AATCCTAGCTCAACTGGTTCAGTTTTTATAGTTGAATAACACCTAAAAACGGCGAAAAATCGAGTTTTCTGCAGATAGATCACTCCTGTCTCGGAGAAAGGGGGGGTCTGGGGGGAGGAGCCCCCCAGCCTCGACAATTTAAAAAGTTACGAGGGTCAAGATCGTGTTATCTGTAGATGAAGCATCTCTGTCTAGAATGTAGGGGGTTTGGGGGGCGGAGCCCCCCAGTATGCAACAAGTTAAAAAAATTACCGACAATGGACGAGCCATTGCCTGCCGAAGGCAGGCTAGCGCCCCAGGCCAAGGTAGGTACGCCAGGCGCGGATTTGAGGAACAGGCAGCGAGACATCGCGAAGCCTGTTACGACAAGACGCGTCTGGCGTAAACCTACCTTGTTATTGGCTTAGCGATAGCGAAGCCCGTTACTCAGGTGGGGTTGAAAAGTTTTTCCTGTCTGCGTGCGTGCGTGCGTGTGTGTCCACACTACTCCTCCTGAAAGGCTCGGCCGATCTCGGTGAGATTTGGCACACTTTTTGGGTATGTCCTTGGCTCAGCACACGCGAAATTTCACTACCATAGCTCAACTGGTTCAGTTTTTATAGCCGAAAAACACATAAAAAACGGTGAAAAATCGAGTTTTCTGCAGGCAGATCACTTCTGTCTTGAAGAAAGGGGGGTTCTGGGGAGCGGAGCATCAAGGACGCAACAAGTTAGACGTAACCGACGATGGACAAGTCATCGCCTGCCGAAGGCACGCTAGCGCCGCAGGCCAGGGTACGTACGCCAGGCGCGGATTGGAGAAACAGGCAGCGAGACATAGACCTTTCCGGGCTAAGCTTCTTGTACAATAACCCAATCTTTGAGCCGCCACACTGTAAGACCCAACCTACTTGCAGCGAAATGGCATTAAACTCGTTGTTGTTGATACTCCAGTAGACACCGAGTTCAATTCCGTTTCGCCACAAATGAGCTGGATCTTAAAGTGTGGCGGCGCAAAGATCCGAGTGTACTGAACAAGTTGCTCAGCCCGGAAAGGTCTATCGCGAAGCCTGTTCCGACAAGACGAGGTCTGGTGTAAACCTACCTTGTTGGCAAAATGATCAGGTGACTATTCAGGCCTTTGTCTCATATTACAAAGAGATTGAGAGCTGAAATCTCACAGCTCTGCAGTAATTTCTGATCACATGAAACATGACATAAATGCTGTGTTTGCTTTTCAGAAGAAGCACATCGAATTCTTGAAAGAGCACATTTCACCGTTCCATAAAGTTATACATTTTTCTGATGGTGCAGCTCAACAATACAACAGGGTAGGTGTACGCCAGACCGTGTCTTGTCGTAACAGGCTTCACGATGCTGCGTCACTTCCGACAATTCACGCCTGGCGTTAACACCTGCCTTGGCCTGCGGCGCAGGACTGCCTTCGGCAGACCCTCTCGCCGCGCATCGCCCCACAAAAAGGTCCTGATCGCACAGCAAAGCAGCATCCGCTTCAGACTATCGTAATGGGGGGCCCCGCCCTAGGGTGGCCCCAAAAAAGTCGAAGGTTTTCCGATTGTCCAATTCCGCTCAAAAATCGATTCTTGACCGAAAAAAAAACCTATATTTTTTGCGTTTTGTCCTGAGACGATTTTGAATACCGGCTCAATAGCAAAACTGGTTTTTAACCCGTTTTAAGCACCAAAATTGTCATAACAGTTACACTTTTTATCCGATTTTCAAAAACGATACGGCAAAATGTTTGGTTTTAGACGGCGAACAAATTATATTCGCACCAATTTTTTGTCAGACTTTGTCTTCAGTATTCTGCTTGCGATTTTCGCTCCAAAAAACACATATTGTTCACTATTTGGAGATAATTTTCTTGTTTCGGACGACCGACATGCGTCTCTATCCACGTTTTTACCTTTCCCTATCCCAAAACAAACCGACCATGTGAAATATAGCCGTGCAAATCAATTTGCCTACCATCTAGGGGCATGCATTTCGTTGTTTTCAGTATAAAGAAAAATCTGTTGAGCTCTGAGGCCGCAATTTTCCTCCGATTCTCAAACCCAAGGTGCCATTTTGTTCAGTTTTTTAAGACGAACAAAAGAGATTTTTTGTCATTTTTTTGTCAGACTGCATTTTAAGGTCCGTTCCTGCTTGACACGTGCAAAAGTCGCCCAAATTCGAATTTTTTGCCCACTTTTGGACCGTTTTTCTCGTCAGCGATCTACGTGTTCTGCCGATGATCATTCTTTCACCTTCCCTTGCCTTTCCGGCATGGCTGGAATAAGAAGAGCCAGGTCCTAGGAACGAACGAACAGGTCCGGGCATGATTTGGCGGGTCGTTTTGAAGTTATCTTTTTTTAAAAAAAAGGGAAAAAAAAAAGGGCCCGCCCGGACGGTTTTGGCTCGGTGAATAGTACCGCAAAAGTGGAGTGTTGCAACCGATTTTTTTTAGTTCTGACCGGTATGGAGAAGTTTTGACAGGTTAGACAAAAAAAAACGGTCCAAAAGTAGGCAAAAAATTCGAATTTGGGCGATTTTTGCACGTTTCAAGCAGAGACGGACCTTAGAACGCAGTCTGACAAAATATCTAAACATGTTTTTTGTTTTCGTCTTAAAAAACTGAACAAAATGACATCTCGACTTTGAGAATCAAGGAAAATTGCGGCCTCAGTGCTCAACAGACTTTTCTTCTTATACTGAAAACAACGAATGCTTGCCCCTAGATGGTAGGCAAATTGATTTGCACGGCTATTTTTTACGTGGTCGGTTGTTTTTGGGATATGGTAAGATAAAAAAGTGTATGGGACGCAACTAACTCGCCGTCCGAAACAAGAAAATTATCTCCAAATAATGAACAATCTGTGCTTTTTTAAGCGAAAATCGCGAGCCGAATATGAAGACGAAGTCTGCCAAAAAATTGGTGAAATGTAATTGTTCGCCGTCTAAAAGCAAACATTTTGCCGTATCGTTTTTGAAATTCCGCTAAAAACTGGAATTGTTGTGACAATCTTGGTGCTTAAAACGGTGGGTAAAAAACAATTTTTATTAAGCCGGTTTTCAAAATCGTCTCAGGACACAAAACGCAAAAAAGGGTTATTTCTGGAATCGATTTTTGAGCGGAATTGGACGATCGGAAAACCTTCGATTTTTTTTGGGCCACCCTACTCCACGTAGTAAACTATGTGACAGCCTAAGTGTACCATGTGGCAGTGGCCTTTTGTCTGGGTTAAATTCTATTCAGCGTACCTTTACGCAATAATGAACGAAGAATTCTTCCAGCTTTTTATTTTCGTTGAGTCTATCAGTTTATCATCTTTGGTTCCCGAGCAATGAAGGGTTTAGTTACAAGTGTACAAATGTCATAGACTGAACACATTCAACTGAGTGAATCGTGGAATCCCAAAGCGAATGACAGTAGTGTCTCATGGTGCCAGATTAACAGTTTTAGGGGACAACAGCAATACGCTTAAAGTTTGTGCCATAGAGAATCGAGCCAAAGCTTATTTTGCGCTTAAACATCAAACAAGAACATCTTGCAGAGCATATGTCCTTAAAATGTATTTTAAAGGTAAAAAGCTAGGGCCCGCCCTTCCGTCGAACCGAGTTGCCAGCTCCGCTTCGCTGCGCCGGCAACTCGGTTCGACAGGGGGCCGGCCCAGCTTGGCCTGCCGGCGGCTTTTTCTCGGGCCTTCGCCCTCGCATCAGACCCAACTTGGCCAGTCGAAGGCCCGGGCCTTCGCCCGCTCGCATCACACACACCGTGAGCGGGTAAAGCAAAGTTATCGATGTACCATCGTGACTTAGGCCCGCCCTTCTATTCACAATATGCAATAGTACTTACACTTTTTACTCCAACTGTCCTTAGAATATGCCCATTTCATTTGTCTCTTCACCCTCATTCGAAATACCCATATTTGCCATGCTACTGCACCTTGCAATAGAGGCACAGCAGGAGCGCAAAACGAGTCCGTCGCACTTTTTCCATAACTCTTGAAGGCGGGCTCCTGGACCCCTCTCCGACCCCTCGTTGAAGAGGTCTTGCTGAGACCAATCGAAATCTGCAATAAATTTTTTTAGTCGGTCGACCCCCTTTTTGGAAGATCCTGATGTGAATAATAGACGAAGTCGGGCCTGGACCCCTTTCCGACCCCTCACTGAAAAGGTCTTGCTGAGACCAATCGAAATCTCAATAAATTTTTTTAGTCGGTCGACCCCTTTTTTGAAGATCCTGATGTGACTAATAGACGAAATCGGGCCCTGGACCCCCTTTCCGACACCTCGTTGAAAGGTCTTGCTGAGACCAATCGAAATCTGCAATAAATTTTTTAGTCGGTCGACCCCCTTTTTTGAAGATCCTGATGTGAATAATAGACGAAGTCGGGCTCCTGGACCCCCTTTCCGACCCCTCGTTGAAAAGGTCTTGCTGAGACCAATCGAAATCTGCAATAATTTTTTTAGTCGGTCGACCCCTTTTTTGAAGATCCTGATCTGGCCAACTTGTAAAAGCGGCCGATAGGGTCGGGACAAGGTCATTCATCTTGTCTTGTCGCCCCGATTCAAAAATACCCCTATGTGCCCTGCTAGCACCAATAATGGCGGAAATCCCCCTCCCGCTCATGTAAACCATGATGCACCTGCAGCAGCCTTGTGCGACCCGGACGGATTTGCACCATTGGATTATTTGTTTGGACGGTACTCCTGAAGTACCCTCCAAATCTGGTTACTCTACCTCAACTCCTTCCTTGTACACAGACGCCAACAACAACAACAACAACAACAACAACAACACACAGACACAAAGGCAAATGCATAGGCCCTCCCCCTATTTTTTGAATAGAAGGGCGGGCCAAAAAGCGGACGCGGTGGGAAATAGAAAAAGTTTCCAATGACCTATTTCAAGACGGTTTCCAATTCTGATCGCTACCATTCCCGTATTTTTCGAAGGAGAGACACGACCTATTGCAGGTCGATTCTCCTTCATTATACCTTCCTTTGAGTCTTCTTACCGCTGTTGGATAGCAAGCCGTTTGGGAGAAATAGCCAAAATCACATGGTGGCCGTGTTGTGCAAGTCCAGGCACCGCCCTCAGGCTGTTTAGAGAGCAGTGCTTGGGCTTGCGGGGATTAGCCCAGTTCTGGTCTGGGGGACCTTTACACTGTTAAAAAAAAATTCTGAAAATTCAGACTAAATGAACTGAAGAAAATTTCGCAAAAGGCACTCCTAATTTTCAGACCAACTTTTTCAGAAACATGCGGTCTGAAAATTCAGACCTGTGAATTCAGACCACAAGTCTGAATATGGATAAGACCTCTAGTCTGAATTGGTATTAAGACCGCTGGACTCTGAAATTTAGGAATTTGGTGAGCTTTTCAACGAGGGGTCGGAAAGGGGGTCTAGGAGCCCGACTTCGTCTATTAGTCACATCAGGATCTTCAAAAAGAGGGTCGACCGACTAAAAAAAATTATTGCAGATTTCGATTGGTCTCAGCAAGACCTTTTCAGTGAGGGGTCGGAAAGGGGGTCCAGGAGCCCGACTTCGTCTATTATTCACATCAGGATCTTCAAAAAAGGGGGTCGACCGACTAAAAAAATTTATTGCAGATTTCGATTGGTCTCAGCAAGACCTCTTCAACGAGGGGTCGGAAGGGGGGTCCAGGAGCCCGCCTTCAAGAGTTATGGGAAAAAGTGCGACGGACTCGTTTTGCGCTCCTGCTGTGCCTCTATTGCAAGGAGTTGCAGTAGCATGGCAAATATGGGTATTTTCGAAATGAGGGTGAAGAGACAAATGAAATGGGCATATTCTAAGGACAGTTGGAGTAAAAAGTGTAAGGACTATTGCATATTGTGAATAGAAGGGCGGGCCTAAGTCACGATGGTACATCGATAACTTTGCTTTACCCGCTCACGGTGTGTGTGATGCGAGCGGGCCGAAGGCCCGGGCCTTCGACTGGCCAAGTTGGGTCTGATGCGAGGGCCGATGGCCCGAGAAAAGGCCGCCGGCAGGCCAAGCTGGGCCGGCCCCCTGTCGAACCGAGTTGCCGGCGCAGCGAAGCGGAGCTGGCAACTCGGTTCGACGGAAGGGCGGGCCCTAGCTTGTTACCCCTTTTTGGCCCGCCCTTCTATTCAAAAAATAGGGGGAGGGCCTATGCATTTGCCTTTGTGTCTGTGTGTTGTTGTTGTTGTTGTTGGCGTCTGTGTACAAGGAAGGAGTTGAGGTAGAGTAACCAGATTTGGAGAGTACTTCAGGAGTACCGTCCAAACAAATAATCCAATGGTGCAAATCCCGTCCGGGTCGCACAAGGGCTGCTGCAGGTGCATCATGGTTTACATGAGCGGGAGGGGGATTTCCGCCATTATTGGTGCTAGCAGGGCACATAGGGGTATTTTTGGAAACGGGGCGACAAGACAAGATGAATGGACCTTGTCCCGACCCTATCGGCCGCTTTTACAAGTTGGCCAGATCAGGATCTTCAAAAAAGGGGGTCGACCGACTAAAAAAAATTATTGCAGATTTCGATTGGTCTCAGCAAGACCTTTTCAACGAGGGGTCGGAAAGGGGGTCCAGGAGCCCGACTTCGTCTATTAGTCACATCAGGATCTTCAAAAAAGGGGGTCGAACGGCTAAAAAAATTTATTGCAGATTTCGATTGGTCTCAGCAAGACCTTTTCAACGAGGGGTCGGAAAGGGGGTCCAGGAGCCCGACTTCGTCTATTAGTCACATCAGGATCTTCAAAAAAGGGGGTCGACCGACTAAAAAAAATTATTGCAGATTTCGATTGGTCTCAGCAAGACCTTTTCAGTGAGGGGTCGGAAAGGGGGTCCAGGAGCCCGACTTCGTCTATTATTCACATCAGGATCTTCAAAAAAGTGGGTCGACCGACTAAAAAAATTTATTGCAGATTTCGATTGGTCTCAGCAAGACCTCTTTTAACGAGGGGTCGGAAAGGGGGTCCAGGAGCCCGCGTTTCAAGAGTTAAAAGGTTTAAAAAGGGGGCGACCCGGCTAAAAATTTTGCGTTTCATTGGCTGCGCCTTTTCAACGAGGGGCGGAAAGGGGGCTAGGGCCCGACTTCGTCTATTAGTCACATCAGGATCTTCAAAAAAGAGGGTCGACCGACTAAAAAAAATTATTGCAGATTTCGATTGGTCTCAGCAAGACCTTTTCAGTGAGGGGTCGGAAAGGGGGTCCAGGAGCCCGACTTCGTCTATTTTTCACATCAGGATCTTCAAAAAAGGGGGTCGACCGACTAAAAAAATTTATTGCAGATTTCGATTGGTCTCAGCAAGACCTCTTCAACGAGGGGTCGGAAGGGGGGTCCAGGAGCCCGCCTTCAAGAGTTATGGGAAAAAGTGCGACGGACTCGTTTTGCGCTCCTGCTGTGCCTCTATTGCAAGGAGTTGCAGTAGCATGGCAAATATGGGTATTTTCGAAATGAGGGTGAAGAGACAAATGAAATGGGCATATTCTAAGGACAGTTGGAGTAAAAAGTGTAAGGACTATTGCATATTGTGAATAGAAGGGCGGGCCTAAGTCACGATGGTACATCGATAACTTTGCTTTACCCGCTCACGGCGTGTGTGATGCGAGCGGGCCGAAGGCCCGGGCCTTCGACTGGCCAAGTTGGGTCTGATGCGAGGGCCGAAGGCCCGAGAAAAGGCCGCCGGCAGGCCAAGCTGGGCCGGCCCCCTGTCGAACCGAGTTGCCGGCGCAGCGAAGCGGAGCTGGCAACTCGGTTCGACGGAAGGGCGGGCCCTAGCTTGTTTTTCTCAAAAATGGCGTCTCTGTGACGCTTGGATGGTCCTGTGGCACTTTTCCTACCAGAATGCGTCTTTCTGCATTAAGTTAGGTCAGTTAGAACAATAAAATATTTTTTTCCCACTTTTTGATCTTTCATTACACTGTGCGTTGAAAAGGTCTTGCTGAGACCAATCGAAATCTGCAATAAATTTTTTTAGTCGGTCGACCCCCTTTTTTGAAGATCCTGATGTGACTAATAGACGAAGTCGGGCTCCTGGACCCCCTTTCCGACCCCTCGTTGAAAAGGTCTTGCTGAGACCAATCGAAATCTGCAATAAGTTTTTTAGTCGGTCGACCCCCTTTTTTGAAGATCCTGATGTGACTAATAGACGAAGTCGGGCTCCTGGACCCCCTTTCCGACCCCTCGTTGAAAAGGTCTTGCTGAGACCAATCGAAATCTGCAATAATTTTTTTTAGTCGGTCGACCCCCTTTTTTGAAGATCCTGATCTGGCCAACTTGTAAAAGCGGCCGATAGGGTCGGGACAAGGTCCATTCATCTTGTCTTGTCGCCCCGATTCCAAAAATACCCCATTGTGCCCTGCTAGCACCAATAATGGCGGAAATCCCCCTCCCGCTCATGTAAACCATGATGCACCTGCAGCAGCCCTTGTGCGACCCGGACGGGATTTGCACCATTGGATTATTTGTTTGGACGGTACTCCTGAAGTACCCTCCAAATCTGGTTACTCTACCTCAACTCCTTCCTTGTACACAGACGCCAACAACAACAACAACAAAACACAGACACAAAGGCAAATGCATAGGCCCTCCCCCTATTTTTTGAATAGAAGGGCGGGCCAAAAAGCGGACGCGGTGGGAAATAGAAAAAGTTTCCAATGACCTATTTCAAGACGGTTTCCAATTCTGATCGCTACCATTCCCGTATTTTTCGAAGGAGAGACACGACCTATTGCAGGTCGATTCTCCTTCATGATACCTTCCTTTGAGTCTTCTTACCGCTGTTGGATAGCAAGCCGTTTGGGAGAAATAGCCAAAATCACATGGTGGCCGTGTTGTGCAAGTCCAGGCACCGCCCTCAGGCTGTTTAGAGAGCAGTGCTTGGGCTTGCGGGGATTAGCCCAGTTCTGGTCTGGGGGACCTTTACACTGTTAAAAAAAAATTCTGAAAATTCAGACTAAATGAACTGAAGAAAATTTCGCAAAAGGCACTCCTAATTTTCAGACCAACTTTTTCAGAAACATGCGGTCTGAAAATTCAGACCTGTGAATTCAGACCACAAGTCTGAATATGGATTAAGACCTCTAGTCTGAATTGGTATTAAGACCGCTGGACTCTGAAATTTAGGAATTTGGTGAGCTTAAAATTGAGATGTCTTATTTCTTAAAAAAGGGCTTCCTGGTCTGAATTTGCTTTCAGCAGTTCACTCCCATACCCCTCGCCTCCCTCTTTTTGCGCAGTGCGGGCAAGGTAATATATGAAAGTTGATCCAACCAATGCTTTAAGAAGGATAAAAATTGCTGTGGCAAGTAAAAGGCAATTTTGTAACCTTAAGGATACTGTCAAGTGAAACTTGCATGTCCAAGAAATATTTGTCACAGGAAGTTCATTTTGAGGTCAAAATTCCACCACTATTAGATAAATTTATTCTCAAAGTTGGGGACTCACACTCTAATTAGTGTCTGAGTTGGGACATTCCATGTGAAGTCAACCAGGCCTTAGCCACCATGGGCTCCGATCAGGTTCTCGTTTTCAGGGTTTGTTACCCCTATGGTGCCATGAAATAATCGGTACTTGGTTTGGGGTCCGGCCCCCCAGGGGCTGGGCTAAGGCCAATTTACTTTTTTGCTTAATATTGAAACAACGCTACTTTGGAGGGTGATATCTCAGCAACCATTGGTCGTAGATCAAATCCGAGACCAGATTTGGAAAGAGAATGAAAAATTGAATCTTTTTTTGCTTTCAAGTTTTTATGTCCAAAAACTTTTTATAAGTTTAAAACTTTAGTGAAGTTTTCAAATTAGCGCCATTTCCTAGATCCTCAACCGATTTTGACCGATCTGGGCTTTAAAGATAGCTTAAACCCTTCCCTTAACGAAAATGTTAACCGAAAAATGTGTTCGGCTTCGTTTCCGAGAACGAGCCATTTTCGTGAACCCCTGCAACCACGTATTTCACCAAATTGGAGTGACGGCCGCACTCGATGCCACACTGGACGCTCTCTTAGGTGTTTTCGGCTCAAAGCAAGTTTCCGGGTTGCTTTTCCAAGGTCAGGAGACCCAAGCGAAGCGCCTGTCAGGTAGGCCAACAACAAGCAGACCTGCAACGCACTAGTGACGTCAGGGTGGCCTACCTTGCCCCTGAAGAGTGGGACAGGCAGCGCGCTCTAGGCGATCAG